TATATGTTGTTGTTGTTGTTGTGTGCCATTGAGTCGGTTCCGACCCATAGCGACCCGGTACAGGGTTTCCGAGGGTATAAATCTTTACGGGAGTAGAAAGCCTCATCTTTCTCCCGCGGAGCAGCTGGTAGTTTCGAACCGCTGACCTTAAGGTTCGCAGCCCGATTCGTAACCACTACGCTATAAGTGCCCCAAATCACACCAATCCAATATTGCCCCTTAGGGTTTCTTTCCTTAGTGAGTTTTCATTTGTAGCACATGGGCTCGCCTTGAATGGGAAGCAACTCAACAGAAACTGACACTAACAGCAAGAAGCAGCATTCCAGATATTGTCTTTTCTTTTTTGAAAATTCTAAGTACTTATTTTATCCACTGACATGAACTCAGTCTGATTTACTTAATCAACACAATAAGACAATCAGCATGTATACATTTGATTTTATATCAGATTATGTCTCCATATCAATGCACATATTTATATACAATGAGTATATTGTTGTTGTTGTTAAGTGCCATCGAGTCGGTTCCGACCCATAGCGACCCAGTACAGGGTTTCCGAGGGTGTAAATCTTTACGGGAGTAGAAAGCCTCATCTTTCTCCCGCGGAGCGGCTGGTAGTTTCGAACCGCTGACCTTAAGGTTCGCAGCCCGATTCGTAACCACTACGCTACCAGAGCTCCTTCACAATGAGTATATTGGGATTTCTATAATGGGCATTTTTGTAATAGTGTATGGAAACAATGGAAAGTTGTTCTGCACTGCTAGGGGGTAGGACTGGAATAATGGTAGTAGTAATATACAAATAGTAGTTATGATTAACTTTCTTGATAACTTATATGTTAGGCACTGTATGATCCTCTTTTGCACAAATTATCTTTCTTAATACTTTATGAGATGATTATTATTTTGTTGTTGTTGTTCAGTGCTGTTGATTCAGTTCTGACCCATAGCGACCCTGTATAGGGTTTCCGAGGAGCAGCTGGTGAGTTTGAACCACCGACCTTGCAGTTCAAATGGCTTTGCAGTCTGGCACATTAACCCACAGCGCCACGTAAGGCCCCCGTTTTATTGCAAATACACTTAGGCTTAGAGAGGTTAAGTACCTTGCCTTCAGTCACACAACTAACAAATGAGATTTTGAACCTAGAAAGTCTGCTAATAGAGTCCAGGGTATATAAAGACCACTTTATTTTACACCTTCCATTGTGAATGTCAATCATGCTGATCAATACAGTCCTCAATTTCGCTGGAAAACATGCACCCTCTCTTCCTTCTCCTAGACAATGCTGCTTTCAACACTACAATCGGATGTGTCACTGATCCAAACAAAGCCAATAGAAATATTCTCTAGAATTTCTGAATGTGGAATAAGTTTTGGTAGTAAAGTTCTAAGTTGTTGGACAGGTTTCCAGGTGTAGAATAGCCCAGGGAAATGAAAAATCATGAACTGGTCAGCCATATAGAATTAGAATCAGTGTAATATGGGCAAAAATGTAAACGTGACCAAATTTATTAATATTGTATGTTGTGTTGTTAGATGCTGCTGAGTTGGTTCTAACCCATAGCAACCCTCTGCACAACAGAATGGAAAACTACCTAGTCCTGCACCAGCCTCATACTTGTTATGTTTGAGCCCATTGCTGCTGCCACTGTGTCAGTCCATCTTGCTAGGGACCTTCCTCTTTTTCTATGACCCTCCACTTTACCAAGCATGATGTCCTTTTCAAGGGACTGGTCCCTCCTGACAACATGGCTAAAGTACACGAGACAAAGTCTCCTCATCCTCACTTCTATGGAGAATTCTGATTGTACTTCTTCCAAGACAAATTTATTTGTTCTTCTGGCAGTCCTTAGTACTTTCAGTATTCTTCCCCAACACCACAATTCAAATGCATCTATTTTTCTGCAGTCTTCCTTATTCATTGTCCAACTTTTACATGCATATGAGGCCATTGAAAACACCATGGCTTAGGTCAAAGTGATATCTTTGGTCTTTAACACTTCAAAGAGGTCATTTGCAGCAGGTTTTTCCAATGCAATGTTGTTATTAAGTTCCATCAAGTTAGTTCTGACTCATAATGACTCTGTATATGGTGTCCAAGGAGTGGCTGGTGGGTTTGAACCACCAACCTTGCAGTTAGCAGGCCAGGACTTATCAGACAGTACCACACCAGGACTCCTTTGATATCTTGACTGCTGCTGCCATGAGCATTGACCGTGGAGCGCACATGTCTGTCAGTTTACAGTACTGTGGTAAACTTGCATGTTGCTGTGATGCTGAAAGGTATGTCACTGGTGTTTCAAATACCAGCAGCGTTATCCATGATGGGCAGGTTCCACTGGAGCTTCAGACTAAGAACAGACTAGGAATAAGGACTCGATGGTCCACTTCTGAGTGATTAGCCCCTGAAACCATATGAATAGCAATGAAACACTGTCTGCTATAGTGCCAGAAGTTGAGTCCCTCAGGTTGAAAGGCACTCAAAATAGAGTTGAAAAATGTGAATGGACAAAGCTTTGGGATCTTCATTTGCTGATGGTGCACAACTCAGAATAAGAAGAAACAGCTGAAAACATTAATTGATAATTGGAACAGGGAATGTACCAGATATGAATACAGGAAAATTGAAAGTTGTAAAAAATGAAATGGAACACATAAAGATCAATAACTTCTGCATTTGTGAGCTGGAATTAACTGGTATTTGGCCATTTTGAATCAGATAATCATATGGTTTACTGTGTGGGGAATGACAAATTCAAGAGGAATGGTGTCACATTCATTGTCAAAAAACATTTCAAGATACATTTTGAAATACAGTGCTGTCAGGATAATATCTATACACCTACAAGAAAGTAGGTCAATACAATTATTATTCAAATTTGCACACCAATCATCAAAGCCAGTGATGAAGAAATTGAAGAATTCTACCAACCAGGTGGTTCAGTACAATAAACACTGGACTGCAAACTAGATTGGTGGTTCAAGCCCACCAGCTGCTCCACAGGAGAAAGATGAGGCTATGTGCTCTCACAAAGATTAATAGACTTGGAAACCCCATACAGGGTTGATATGAGTTAGAACTAACTCAACAGTACTTAACAACTACCAACTTCTTCAGTCTGAAATTGATCGAACATGCAATCAAGATACATTGATAATTACTGGAGATTGGAATGTGAATGTAGGAAACAAATGTAGGATCAGTAGTTGGGATTTTTTTTTTTTTTTTTAAATAGTTGGAAGATGTTGCCTTGGTGTTAGAAACAATGCTGAAGATCACATGATAAAATTTTGCAACACCAACAACTTATTCATTGCAAATACCTTTTTTCAATAACACAAATGGTGACTATACACATGGACCTCACCAGATGAAATACACAGTAATGAAATTGACTACATCTGTGGAACTAGATAAAAGAGAAGCTTAATATCATCACCCTAAGCAGACCAGGAGCTAACTGTGAAACAGGCTCAAGCTGAAGAAAATTAAAGCAAATTCAAGAGAACCTAAGTACAACCTTGAGTATACACCACCTGAATTTAGAGACCATCTCAAGAACAGATTGAATACACTGAATACTAATGACCAAAGACCAGAAGAGTGTGGTCTTTCATCATACATGGTGAAAGCAAAAGGTCATTAAAAAGACAGAAAAGACTTTGAAACTTGCTCTTGAACACAGAGTGGCTAAATTCAATAGAAAAAATGATGAAGTAAAAGACTTGAACAGAAAATCTTAAAGGACAGCTCAGGAAGACAAAGTATCATAATGAAATGTAAAAAGATCTGGAATTAGAAAGCCAAAAGGAAAGAACATGCTTAGCATTTTTCAAGCTGAAATAACTGAGGAGCAAATTCAAACCTCAACTTGCAATATTGAAGGATTCTATGGACAAATTATTAAATGACTCAGGAAGCCACAAAATAAGATGGAAGGAGTACACAGAATCACCGAACCAAAATTAACTGGTTGACCTTCAACCATTTCAGGAGGTAGCATATGATCAAGAACCAGTGGTATTGAAGGAAGAAGTACAAGCTGCATTGAAGGCGTTAGTGAAAAACAGATCTAAGAATTGACAAAAAACAAATTGAAGTAGCTCAACAAACTGATAAAGCACTGAAAGTACTTACTAGACTTTGCCAAGGAATCTGGAAGACAGCTACCTGGACAACTGACTGGAAATTATCCATATTTGTGCCCATTTCAAAGAAAAGTGACCCAACAGAATGAAGAAATTACCTAACAATAATCATTAGTATCTCATGCAAGTAAAATTTTGCTGAAGATAATTTAAAAGCAGTTGTAGCAGTACATCTACAGGGAGCTGCCAGAAATTCAAGCCAGATTCAGAAAAGGATGTGGAACGTGGGATATCATTGCTGATGTCAGATTTTGGCTGAAAGAAGAAAATACCACAAAGATGTTTATTGGTGCTTTATTGATGCCACAAAGACATCTGACTCTGTGGATCATAACAAACTATAGATAACATTGCAGAGAATGGGAATTCCAGAACACTTTCTTGTATTCATGAGGAAGAGACATATAGATCAAGAGGAAGTCATTTGAACAGAGCAAGGGGAGGAGATACTGTATGGATTAAAATCAGGAAAAATGTGCGCCAGGGTTGTATCCTTTCACTATTACTTATTCAATCTGTATGTTGAGCAAATAATCTGAAAAGCTAGACTATATAAAGAAGAACATGGTATCAGGATCAGAGGAAGACTCATTAACAACCTGTGATATGCAGATGATACGACCTCGCATGCTCAAAGTGAAGAGGATTTGAAGCACTTGCTCATCAAGATCAAAGACTGTATGGCCTTCACTATGGATTACAACTCAGTGTAAAGAAAACAAAATTAATATAGTATAAAATGGTTAAATCTGGAATATCCTAGCCACAAAAATTTAATATCTTTAATTCATTAGGAAAGGGAGGACCACCTAACTTAGCGTGTTGGGCAGTTCAGACATTCCAGAAACACTGTGCTTACCTCTGTCCTCAGTAGAGTCTGAGACCAAGGAATTATTCTGTTCCAGAGGCAGTGGGTGCAACCAGATGAGAGCCTGGTTGCTGGGGTCAAGCAGCAGAGGCCAACGGCAACTGTAATAGTGGGTAGGACTTCGCAGAAGCAGGCCAGCCAGGCGAGCGGACTTTGCCTGGGGCTTCTGATCGCTATCCCATTGGTGCTGTTCATGGTCAGAGCTCAGCAAAGACAGAAGGTTGAAGGGAGAGTGTGTGGGCAGTAGGGGTTTCTTTGGCATGTTAATAGATTTCTCCTTCTGCCTCAGTGCCTTTGCCACATCATCTGGACCCAGGGTCTCCTGAAAGCCCTCGCACAGAGCCAGCCATTTGTCTAATAGCTCCTGGCGCCGCAATGGTGGGAAGGGACCCAGGTAGACAATGGCAGCTGAACACAGGAGGGCATCTCCCAAAACAGTCATGCAGTACCCCTTCAGCTTCTAGGATGAAAGGGAAGGTCAGATGATGTGCAGGCAAACTGAAGAGGGTCTGGCCGAGGGGAAGCAGATTAGGATATGGGATAAAGCATAGCAAGAGGGGTAGAGTGGGATAGAGGGAGGCAATGAGGGCCTAAAGAGAAGCAGAGAAAGGGTGGGGCAGCGGGGTGTAGGGGTGGGGGTGGGCAGCACAAAAATGAATTATGGGGGGACGTCTGAGAAAGGAATGGTTACCTTGAGCTGTGTAGTCCAGGAGTGTATAGGTGTGAGCAGTGCAGCCTTTATGGGCCACTTGTAATATTTGCCAAACTGTGCGTGAATGAGGGTCTCCATCATAAAGCTATAGGAATCTTGGGCATCCTTCATCTTTTTAATCAGGGTTAAATTGTGCTGCAGGGTCTCATGGGCCTGGAATTGGTAACGGCCCAGACGGGCTTGCTCCCGAGCTAGCGCTGCTTCCACCTGCCGCAACAGCAGACCTGTCGGCAGTCCCCGGCGCTGTGCCAACCCATAGCGCAGAACGGCCCAAAGCCACACTGTCAGGCTTGCTGCAGGTGTGCTTACTGCTCGCAGAGCCTCATCGCTCATGCCTGGAGCCTTCAGAGCTAGGTTTAACTTGATCAGCTCTGAATCTGTCATCTTCTCCTTGGGGAAGAATACCAACTCCTGCATACATGTTAAGGGGATGAGAGAAGATATGGCTACTCTGAACACAACAGTCTAACCCTGCCAACTCTCTGCTGTCCCCCCTCCTCTTTCCTCATTGTGCCCCACCATCCCTACCTGATAAAAATCCTCAGTGCATAACAGTTGCTTCGCACTGGCCCAGCCTGGTTCACGGTGGAACAGGTCACACAGTGCATTGGTCACCTGGACTACAGATTTTGGTGGTGCTCGATAGCTCCGTAACTCCTCGAAATCAGCCACCTGCAGCTGGCTTAGAGGCCCCAGGAATGCCTTGCCCATCTAAATGAGGAGATATGCACTGTGAAGTGAGCTCTCCTACAAGGTGTTTCCAGGCGGAAGCGTCTCCTCCCAAGAGTCCCATGATGGACTGTCCTATTATCTTGGCCCTCTCCTCCCCAGCAGATGCATGATGTATCACATTTTCCTCTCCTCTGGACATCTTATGTCCTTTCCCAAGAGAGAAAAAGTGCATGGCAGGTGGCAGCAAAGAGCTTACCTGTTCCAGGAAAGCCACATGCTGAGCCTGCAGAGCATCTCGCTGTTTGACCAAATTCTCAATGAGCTTCTCCTGCTGCTGACATTCTGCCATCTGCTGCTTGTACAGAAACTTGTCTTGTTCTATCTGATGCTGAAGTATACTGAGGCTCTGTGAACAGAGATTTAGGCCTTGCAGTTCCATGTCTTGGGTCAAGCAGGAACACTCAAGGGGGAAGATTCTATGGACTTGGTACCAAAGTACACTCTTCACTTGAGAGCCAGAGTGACCAAGTTAGACTCCAAATAAGTCACAAATTATAGTCTGAGGCCTGGGTCTATCAGTTACCTAATCTCTGAGCTATATACCTAGTAATAAAGACCAAGTTGGTGGTTGCTTTTTCTGCAACTGCTTTGCCATTATATAGGCCTAGGCAGGCAATCTGAATCCAAAGCCTGCGAGCTTAACTAGTATGTTACAATCCTTGTCTTACTTGACCTATTAGAGTCACAGACCTATTTGTCACAGATGACACTTAATTCACTCTGAAAGCATTCTCCCTTGGCTTCTGTGATATTGTGTTCTCCTCCAATGTGTCTCACTGCTATGTCTCTTTCTTTTCCATCCCTTAAATATATGCCTTAGCAATTGTTCAGAGCCACCTTAACACTTTAAACTTCTACACATCTTCTCCAGTCTCATGATTTTGATTACCATTTTCGGGGAGCACTTAACTCTCGTTTCTTGGCAAGGCCGCACTGGGGGGAGAGACATTATGCACGTCAAATGACTCTCAAAAGCTGACCCCTATCTTCCCTTCAAGTTAGACCTAAATTTACTTGTAAAAATATATAATTTGGCAATATTCACAGCTTTTCACTATGAGTTCTACAAACTCTAGGAAAAACTAGCTTAGCAGCAATTGCTTTCAGCCTTGGTGGATTGAATACAAAGAAAAATTGTGTAAATTACTCCCTTTTATTAGAAAACCTAAGTAACTGCATTTGTAAGGCCACAAAAGCAAATAGCATATTAGAGTCAAGCTGACCTACCCCCATAAACCTCACCACAATTAGTCATTAGCCAGAATTCTCAAACCCCTACATACAGACACCTGCGTAAACAAGTAGACAATAATGAACTTAAGTGAAGGATAGTTTTGACTTAATAATCTACACTTCTTGCAGCACGTAGCCAGGTTGGGCTTTATGCCACATAGATTCCAAGTGATTTAATGAATACCTTTATTACGAAAATAATAGCACATTATGTAGGATAGAAAGTTTATAATCCTTTAGTAGAAACAAGAAGAAACAGTTTTATCTCATACTGGGAAAGAACATGAAGGTCAGTCTGAACATCACAGAAGTATTTTTGTCAAGGTTGTCTAATGACCAGGTGCAAGAATGTTGTGACTGTGTAATAATTCAAGAAAAGATAAAAGTGTCAATGCATGTACTGTGTAATTTTAAGTATAAAAAATAAAGATTTGCTGAGCGGTACTGGCAAAAAAAGGTAGAAGCAGAAAGAGGTAGGAGGCAAAAAGAAGGCAGAGGGCAGACAGCAGAGAGAGCAGACAGCAAAGAACAGAAAGCAGAAGCAGAGGCAGAAGCTGGAGAGAACAGCCAGACAGCACAGCAAGTTGAAAAGCCTTTTGACTGTATTCATTCATTTCTTCATCACCACTGATTCCGCGTATCCTCTCGTGTCCCACGACCCCCCGCGGAGAGCAGGAACTCCCCGCAACCATTTATATTCTAATACCTCCCAAATCTGGATTTCTAGTTAGATTCTTTCCCAAACACCACACCTGTGTATCCATCAACTTAATAGAAGTCTCCTCTTGGATGGCGTACAGGTCCTCAACTCTACATGCCCCAACCTGAATATATTGGCTATCCTCCTCAGCTCCACTGTAGTCCTCTCCTCATGTGTTCTTTATCTCAAAGAATGGTGGCAAATACAACCAGTTTCCCAAGGGAAAAATCTACTTGATACCCTGAACCCATTTCCTCCATTCCCTAAACCCAATCTATATCCAAGGCCATTCAATTCTACTTCCTAAATGTCTTCTATATTAGTGCCATCCCCAACACCCACCATATACTCTCACCATGCCCCCTAACCTGCTGCATAGGTTTCCTAACTTATCTCTCAGCGTCTACTCTTATTCTCCCTCTAATTCATTCTCTATTATTCAGCTTAATGGATTTTCTAAAAAAGGAATTTCATTCTATCCTTTAACATTAATCACACTTATCACCCCTTCATTTGCTTTATGGGGCCTCCATGGCCAGGACTCTAACTCATCTTTCCAGCCTCATCTCTTTCCTGTCCCCAAGCTCCCTACTTGGTATTCTCCAGTCATCCTAAATTTCACTTCCTTCCACATGGCACACATTCCCTTGACTTTGGAACTTTACACATACAATTTCCTTAACCTAAGACATTCTTCCTCCCATTCCTCTTACATATCTAATTAAATGTAACCTAACCTTCAGGTTAGGATATTTACAGACCATTTAAAAAACAGATTTGACATACTGAAATCTAATGTGACCGAACACCAGACACATTGTGGAATGACATCAAGGACATCATATATGTAGAAAGCAATGGTTATTAAAAAGACAGGAAAGAAAGAAAATACCAAAGTAGATGTCAGAAGAGACTCTGAAACAAATGAAATGTGCAAAGACCTGGAGTTAAAAAAACAAAAAGAGAAGACCATGATTGGCATTTCTCAAAAATAAAAGCCTCAAATTACAATACTGAAATATTCAAGGGGAAAATACTAAATAATGAAGGAAGCATCTAAAGAAGGTAGAAGAAACAAAAAAAGTCATTGTACCAAAAATAATTGGTTGGCATTCATCAATTTCAGGAGGTAGGTAACATATGTTAAGAACCAACTATATTGCATTTTATGAAGCAAAGATAACCCCCATAACCCAAACCAGGCAAAACATCACTAGAGAGAAAATTATAGACCAATATCCCTCATGAACACAGATGCAAAAGCACTCAAATAAACCCTAGTCAATAGAATTAAACAACATATTAAAAAAATAGTGCATCATGGCCAAGTGGGATACATGCTAGGGATACAAGGATGGCGCAATATTATAAAAACAATCAACTTAATTCACCACGTAAATAAAGCCAGAGCTGTAAGGCAAGAACTGGTATGAAAGGCATCCAAATTGGCAAAGAAGAAGTAAGACTCTATTTTCAGATGATATGATCCTATACATAAAAAAATTCCAAAGAGTCAGCAAAAAAATTATTGAAACTTATTGAAAGATTCAGAATAGTGGCAGGGTACAAGATCAACATACAAAAATCATTTGGAAGGGATGGGCAACTTAGACATTGGCTACCCAAAACTGGGGGGCTACAAAGGCACAAAGTGACTGGCTTAAAAGCTTTCAAGAGGGAGCCTAGTTTCAGAGGATGTGGGGGAAGGTAGAATCTTCACTGAGTACTTTCCAACCTGTCTGGATGGGGCTGGTGAAAGGAGATAGGGATAAGGAAAAAAAAAAGGACAACATACCATTAAATTAATTAAAATCAACTTGAAGATGAAAAAATGGCAGAGAACACATGGTAACATACTGGAAAAACCACTGGGCTAACAATCTATGGAGGCAATAGAACTACAGTTTTCTATTATGGCAAAGAGGGAATGTAACCTGCTGAGGGGTTGTTATTGCACCACATGCTGCCAACTGTGAACAACACCTGAAGTCCATAAGAACTCCAGCAAAGTACAACTAAGAGCTTAGGTCATAAATGCTCCAGGAGATTCTTATGCCTAGAAGTACAGCTTTCTCTCAAACTCACTACCAAAGTGCTATATAGTGAGAGAAAGAGGTTTTAGAACTTGTTTTTCTTTTTTCTTTAGAATTTAGCATAATTAGATGGCTCCTAAAAACTTAGATAATATGTCTCTTTTGATAAAATAAGAGCATATGTGTCTGATATAGAATTTTTTTAAATTAAAAAGAAAATTAATTTTAAAAAATGTTTAAAACAAATTTCTGCATTGATAAATATTTAAGTATTAACAACACTCAAAATTAACATCTGATACAAAGATTTAAAAAATATAAAATGCTTCAATATTTAAAAAAAAAAAAAAAAACTCAGTTGGATTTCTTTACACTAATAAAGACAGCTCTGAGAAGGAAATCAGTAAAACAATACCCTTTGCAATAGCCACCTAAAAGATGAAATAATTAGTAATAAATCTAATCAGAGAAAACAAAATAGTTATACAAAGAAAAAAACAAAATGCTCCTACAAGAAACCAAAATAGATTTATAAAAATGGAAGAATATACCATGTTCATGGATTGTTGTTGTTGTTAGGTGCCATTGAGTCAGTACTGACTCATAGCAACCTTATGCACAGCAAAACGAAACACTGCACAATCCTGGGCCAACCTCACTACTGTTGCCATGCTTGAGTCCATCGATGCTGTCACTTGGCCAATCCATCTCATTGGGGGTCTTCCTCTTTTTCTCTGACCCTCTACTTTACCAAACATAATATCCTTCTCCAGCGACTGGTCCCCCCTGACAATATGTCTGAAGTATGAGAGACAAAGTTTGGCCATCTTGGCCTCCAAGGAGCACTCTGGCTGCACTTCTTCCAAAACAGATCTATTGGTTCTTTAGGCAACCCATGGCACTTTCAATATTCTCCTCCAACACCATAACTCAAAGGCATCAATTCTTCTGTGGTCTTCCTTATTCACTGTCCAGCTTTCGCATGCATATGAAGTTATTGAAAATACCATGGCTTGGATCACGTGCACCTTAGTCTTCAACCTGACATCTTTGCTCTTCAACACTTTAAAAAGGTCTTGTGCAGCAGATTTGCCTAATGCAATACGCCATTTGATTTCTTGACTGCTGCTTCCATGAGTGTTGATAGTTGATCCAAGAAAACTGAAGTCCTTGACAACTTCAATCTTTTCTCTGTTGATAAGAATGTTGTCTATTGGTCCAGTGGTGAGGATTTTTGTTTCTTTATAGGAAGGTTTAGTATAGTGAAACTTCCAACACTACCCAAAGTAATCTGTAGATATAATGCAATCCCAATTCAGATTCCAAAGTCATTATTCAAAGACATGAAAACTGATCACTAACTATATGGAAAGGAAAGAG